GCACCGAAATAAAGCACCGAAATGTGCGCTGTTTTTCGGTCTGGTTACTACCGTTTATGTCAGAACCGGTGCCATCATGGCACCGGACACCGGTACCCATCCCTAGTGCCCAGTGTGTGTGTGTCCTCAGTGAACTGTATCAGTCTCTGCAGCTCAGACTCTAGAGCAGAGTAGATGTGTTCTCTAGATTGATGATAGATCTGATAGACGAGTCTGGGTTTGGCGGTTGCCGGGAGAACAGTTTCTGTCTGACTGCATTGTGTCAAGTGTAAAATTTGGTGGAGGAGGGATTATGTGGGGTTATTTGTAGGTGCTGGATGAACTGAAGCAGAGACTGTAAACCAGGATTTCTCGTCCAACATCAGTGTCTGACCTCACAAATGTGCTTCTGTGAAAATGGTCAAAAGTTATGATAAACACCTCAGCCGGTTGTAGACAGGCCTATATGAGGGGGCTGACAGAAATGTACCGGGCGTCAGTGTTGGGAAGGTTACTTTTAAAATGTATTCCACTACAGATTACAAAACTACAAAATACATGTCCCAAAATGTATTTAAAACGTCTTATTATATAACATTATCATGCTTTTTACAACTACATGAATGTACTATTGTTATGTTTTGTGCCCCATCACAAAACATGACATCACTGTTTTGTACATTTTAACACAATTTATTCCCACATTTGTGAAAGAAAAGCAAAACACTTTTTTTGAAAAGTCTGTAACAAAACCATCAAATCTGATAAAGGTTTTTTAAACGCTGCAAAATGAAGAATGGATTGGAATAGAAAAAATACACATCCTAACCTTAATTACTGCGGGAGAATAATGAATGATGCTCATAGTGAGTAAAAAGTAAACTGAGTGCATTTTTTTGGACAGAGATTCACTTTTAATGTGTATGTATAATATAATACAGATACATAAAATCACTCTCAAAACAGAATAAATTATTACAAATAAATTATTACAAAATATTAAAAAAAAAACAAAATAAAAATGGAGGCAACTTTGCCTGTGGTAGAATGTATATAATGTATGAAAAAATCTTTACTGCAGATACTAATTTTACTAATTTAATCAAACTAATTTTGTGTTGTAAGATTTATGGGTTTCATGCTTTCATAGTGGTACTTGGGAGAGCTTGACATTTTTATCAGGTGGTACACACTGTAAAAAGTTTGAGAAACACTGATAAGTGTGTGTGTGCTTTTGGAAAACATTTAAAGCTGCAGTACAGAATCTTTGAAACAAGCTTAAAACATTTTTAGAATATAAACAGAGCATCTGCTTCTCTTTA